AGAAGACCCCAGACGCTATATCCTTTGATAGCCGGGCACCATCAGCTTTCTTCACCACATTTGCTTATGCACCCATTGTCTTCAGCGGTTGTTCTTCAGCGATTGTGTCGGGAAGCTGAGCATCATGGAATGCAACAAGACATGCACTTTCCTCCCAGGATGGATAAACCCCTCAGGAACAGTAAGGGAATAGCAATAACAAAAGAGTAAGAGGGAGGTGGATGTTGGGCAGGAGAAAGAGGAAACCGATCACAATGATCTACATAAAACCCCCTCCCAGGGGCACGGACAACAGAAACGTGGGTGAAGGGAGACAGTGGTCTGTATAAGACATGAAAAATTTTGTTTTATAAATTATCAAGGGTTCATGTGGGATGGAGGGTGGGGAATTGGGGTAAAATGAGCTGATGCCAAGAGCTCAAGTAGAAAGAGTATATTTTGAAAATGATGATGGCAACATATATACAAAGGTACTTGACACAAAGGATGTATGTATGGATTGAAATAAGAGTTGTAAGAGCCACCGATAAAATGATTAAAAAAAACAACAACAAGAGGCAGATTTTTTAAAAACAAGAGAGAGAGGAGGATGATTTCATTTTTTTGCTTACGGTGATGGCGTTTGTAAAAAATGTGGTTTACATGAATAAAAGGGCCTGATTATTCCAAGCTGACTTCTCTAAATCAACATGAGCATGATGTACACAATATGCAGTTCAACGTGAATGTAAAAATAAATGTCAGTAGGTAATTACCCTATTTTTACCATTTCCTTCCCAGAAGAATTTTAGGGAAGTGCTTATTTTTCTAGGAAGTTTAAATACAACTTAATCCTGAGAAGCCTGTGACTATGTGTTGGCAAGCTAGTGTTTTGACAAGGAATAAATCAATGTATGTGGACATGGGTGATACATGAATCTCCCCAATAAAACATTTCGTCAAAATATGTCTTTCAAAATGTGCTTGTCATAATTCCTGTGCCAAATGTTTAATGAATAGTTCATCTAAACACTACTGTCAAGAGAGAATGTTATTGGCTGTCAGTTTCCCACATGCAAGTGATTAATAAAGTGACAAATTCAAGATCAAAGCACTCAAGGTCTATGGCTGATTTCACTGTGGGCGTATAAAATATGGGTTTTTGAACAGGGATTGAGCCTCCGGACCTCATCAGGTGAGCATGCTAGCCAGTATTTAGAAAGCCCCTTCCATTTTTTTAGCACACGGTTTAAGAACAACATTTGGAAATTTAAAAGATGTGTCTCACCATGCTATCTAGATCAAAACAGAGATGATTCAAATGTGCAGTAACTAGGAATTTGCTGACCGTGAATCTAAAACTATGATAATGTATCATTTCTAACTTACAAACACACAAAAAAGTTCTAGACACCAGTTGCCATACATTTGATTCCAACACATGCCCCCATGTGTATCAAGGTAAGACTATGTCCCACAGAGTTTTTCGTAGCTGAGTTTCGGCATGATCTCCCCAGGCCCTTCTTTGGGAGGAACCTCTGGGGAGACTCAAAGTGTCGATAATATCTTGGGTAGCAGTAAAGGCTGTGAACTGTTTGTGCCCCAGGCGCTCTCAAAGGGTCTTGGCTTTCTTCTGGTTTTTAAGTATTTTCTCTTATTTATTATACCCAATGCTTTTTAAAGTAGAAGGGAAGTTCTTTATAGTTAGAATACATGAAATTTCATTAAAAGGTAGAATCGCAGATAAGGGAATTTAAATATTTCCTTTTAAAGAATGAGCGACACTATTGTTCTAAATGTTGAAATTGAAAATTTTTATATATGACTAATTTTATGACGGTCAGTAACTTTGAAAATTTCATTGTTTCTGGAAAAAGTTTACACCAAAAAGTAGATTCTCATTTTAAAATGTTCCTATTAATTGTAATGTAACATTGTTCATAAGTCTTGCAATTTGTCAACATTCTCATTATTTATATTCTGCTCTTTCTTTTTCCATGTACATAGGCTCCTTGCCCTCCTTTGCCTTCCCATCATTGCTTTAGTTTGAATGTTCACCATTGGGTCTTATATATAGTTGTGGGATAAAATCAAGAAGTAAGCATCTTGATTGATCATCATACATGAAGAAATCAAGTGATAATTAGTAAGACAGGAAAGAATGAAAAAGGAAAGAGCGAAAGTCAGAAGAGACTGAAACTTGCTCTTGAATGTAAAATAGCTAAAGGCCAAGGAGGACATGGTGTAATGAGAGCTGCACCAGAGAATTCAGAGTGGCTCAAGAAGACAAAGTGAAGGATTCTAAGGAGAAGGTCAAAGACTGGGGGGTCAGCAAACCCAAAGGGAAGAGCACCTCCGCATTTCTAAAGCTGAAAGAAATGAAGAAAAATCCACCCCTCCCTCGAGTTGCAATAGTGAAGAATTATCTGGGAAAAATATTGAGTAACACCAGACATGTCAAAAAAAGATGAAACATGTAAGAATTGGAAGCACAGGGAATACAAGACAGATTAACCCCTCAGGACCAGTAGTGAGAGTAGTGATACCCAGAGGGAAGGGGAAGGTGGAATAGAAAGAGGGAACCAATCACAAGGATCTCCACAGAACCCCCTCCCTGGGGGATGAACAATAGAAAATTGGGGAGACATTGGATAGTGTAAGACAAGACAAAATAATAATAATTTATAAATTATCAAACGTTCGTGAGAGAGGGGTGGGGGAGGGAGGGGGAAAATGAGGAGCTGATAGCAAGGGCTCAAGTAGAAAGAAAATGTTTTGAG